TGAGGAATAGAAGAGGGCACAGCAAAATTGTTCAAACTCCCTGGTAAACTTATAAATTTGTTTGTTTCTTAGCGTTGTTCAGAGGGGGAAAAAAACTATTAAGCCTAAAAAATGTTTAGGCTTCTCTAGAGCTGGAAGCCAAAGGTAAGCATAATCATTTGTGAGACTGATAATGAGTTAAATCTGTGAGGTAGGGACTTGTGGTATGAGCTATGGAATAGACAAAGCCCAGAATGATAGAAATAGGAGAAACAGATACGCTTGTTTTCAGATTAAGGAGACAATGAAAGCAAAGGTTTTACTTAAAGGATCAGAATTATGTTACTATGCATTTTAAAAATATATTTATATATTTCCTATTTTGCTGCCCATCTATTTGACAGCAGATGATCGAAGAGTCGTTAAACATTGAATGGAGAATTAGAAATAAGTATTCAAGAAATGAAAGACAGATCTGTTTGTGCTGAAAATCCTTTAGAAAAATACGTGAAAAACATCCAGAAGACCCAAGACCAAGAGATGGCAGATAAGGTGCTGATGCTATGGACTCTCTATCTGGGGTAGGGACTGGAAGAGACGGAGGTGAGGGTTTTTCGGTTTACTGGAAAACTTGGGGACAGGAGGCTGCCTTCTCCATTGGCAACAAAAAGGTAAAAGCAGACAAAAACCAAAGTTTATATGGAGACTTGAGTCTTAAATGTATTACACTCTTGACAAAATTTCATCACTTTTGCTTGGGTAAATCATAGAACAGATTTTAGTTTGTCACAATTTGTAAAGATTAGATGTCTTATTTTTAGAACAATAAAAAATATAATGAAAGCCTTATCAATGAATAGTGAATGCATTGGTACTTTCTGAGACTTTGATACTCTATATAAGTCTGAAGTACTATGGATATTGAGAATGCATTTTAGATAGTTCAATGTGCTTGCTAAATTTTGTGTTTAAAAGTCACCTCTTTTGGACTCTTAAATTTTATATATATGTAATATACATTAATAGTCCTTAGAGAAATCAAACTGTTTAATAATATTAAAACACATCTAATTTCAAAATTCTTTCCCTCCCTTTGAATCAAAGCTCATAAGATTGTCAAAAGGTTCACAAATGAACACACTACTACCTAGTGACAAAGACAAAAGGTATGGTTTGCCCACTCTCTCATTCTTAAGCACACCATTTCATTTTGCTGGTTTTGTTGGCCAAGGGGAACATTCAGATACTGGACTGAGCCTATAAAAACTTGTTGAATCAATAAATATTACTAACATCAAAAATATCTATTACATTTTTTAATTTGTGAAATTGCTACAGATAAAAATTGTCAGTGAAGACAGAAACCCCATGAAGAAGGAATGAGAACATTATAAAGGTCCATGAGTAAACTTGACAAGAATACAACAAAGTTTTAAAATTTTTATCTTTCCCTCATGTGGCCCAGCTTCTTATTCATGTAACTGGAGGCCTACGAGTTCTCTGCAATAAGACAAAATCTCAATAAAAATTGTATAATCCAGTGTGGTTTTTTTCATAGTTTTATTTGGTACTCTAGTATATAGACCAAAAATAATCTAGTCAAGTGACAGCTCTTCAGAATTTCTCATCCTTAAGCGTTTCATTACACTAGAATAAGATGCTCTGTTTTTTGTTATTATTATTATTTTTTTCCATTTTTATGTTAGGTTGCATTTTTTTGAAAAGTTATCATTGGTCAAATTGCAGGTCTGCATTTTGGTAGTTTCATAGGTGTTCTTTCTTCTCTTGAGTTAGGCTACATCTTCCCCGACATTGTCCTTCTGATTTGTCCCTGAAAATGAAGACATAGGTCTTTCCATTCCAGGCTCTAGAAGTAGTGCAGTGTCACCACTGGTCTTTACTTTTGACATTTTTTCCTTGAACATCAACAAACTCTCAGATGATGTTAACAGAAGGTACCATTTACTGAGCACTTGTTGTGTGCCAGGTGTAATTTTAAACCTATACCTGTATTATGTCACCGCATACTCATATCAGCTGTGTGACGTGTAGGTATGACTATCCACAGTTTATAGAGTAGGAAACACAGGTCACAGAGGAGTTAGTGACTTGACCAAGGTCTTGTGACTGTCAGGATGTGAAGCCAGGACACATACCCAGGTGTTGAGACTAGCACGACCTCTAACCTAGGCTGTTCCAAAGCTGCTCTGGAGAAGGACATCCGGGACTTGGAATGGGTCACCCATTGGATGTCGCTTTCCAAAATGACCTTTAGAAACTACACACCAACCAAATCACGGTAAGTGCACTCGAGTGCAGCGGCAACATAACATCCACAATGTGAGGAGACCAGTTTACTCTCACTCACTGTGCACAAAGATTCCTTTTTCTCCATATCCTGGCTAACACTTGTTCATTGAGTTATTGATAATAGCCTTTCTGATAGGTGTGAGTTGCTATCTCATTGAGGTTTTGATAACGTGTCTCCCTGATGATTAGTAATGTTGAGCCTCTTTTCATATGGTTCTTCACAATTTCTATGTAGCCTTCGTAAAAAATGTCTATTCAGTTTTTCTGCTCATTCTTCATTGGATTGTTTGGGGTTTTTTGTTTTTGTTTTTGTTTTGCTATCGATTTGTATAATCTCTTTATGTATGTTGCATGTTAACCCCTTATCAGATACATGGTTTGCAAAAATTTCTCCCATTCCATCTAGGTTGCCTTTTCATTTTGTTGATGGTTTCCTTATCTATGCAGATTTTATTTTGATGTAGTCTCATTTGTTTATTTTGCTTTTGTTTTCTTTCCTTTTAATATCAAATCCAAAAAAGAATAAGAAATATATTGCCAAGACTGATCTCAAGGAGCTTATTTATTCCCTGTGTTTTCTTCTGGGGATTTTATTGTTTCATGACTTATGTTCAATTCTTTAATGCATTTGGATTTGATTTTTGTATAAGATGGGGTCCAATTTTATTCTTTTGCATTTGCTTCTCCAGTTTTCTCAACACAATCTATTGAACAGACTTTGCTTTCCCTATCGTATATTCTTGGTTCCTTTTTTTTATAAATTAATTGACTACATATGCAAGAGTTTATTTTGGGGCTATTCATTTTGTTCCATTGATCTATGTGTCTGTTTCTATGCTAGTGCATGCTGTTTTGATTATGATAGGTTTGTAATATAGTTTGAAATCAGGAAGTATGATGCTTCCAGTTATGTTCTTTATTAAAATTGCATTAATGAATCAGGCTTTTTTTTATTATTATATGGTTTCATACAAATTTTAGGATTTTTTTCTCTTTCTGTGAAAACTGCCTTTGGAATTTTGATAGAAATTGAATTGAATCTGTAGATTTCTTTGGGGAGTATGGACATTTTAAATGTGTTCTTCTAGGGTATAAACATGGAATATCTTTTCATTTATTTGTGTCTTCAATTTCTTAATTACCAATTCTTTTTCAATTAAAATTATTGGAGTGACATTGGTTAATAAAATCAAATAGGTTTCAAATATACAATTCAGTAATACATCATATGTATATTGCATTATCTATTCACCTCCCAAAGTTAAATTTCCATCTGTCACCAAATATTTGACCCTCTTTACCCATGTCGACCTCCTCCCGTGAATCCTTCACTCTGGTAACCACTAATCCACTGTGCTTGTCCATGACTGTCCGATTCTTTGTCAAGTTTATTTGTTAATTTGTTTTATATTCTGCATTTGAGTGAAATCATGTGGTTCTTGACTTTATCTGTCTGACTTATTTCTCTTAGATCCAGCCATATTGTTGCAAATGGCAGTATTTCATTGTTTCTTATGGCTGAGTCACATTCCATTGTATATACGTACCACTTTTTTATCCAGTCATCTATCGGTGGACACTTGGGTTGCTTCCATGTCTTGGCCATCATGAGAATTGCTACTATGAACACTGAGGTACATATATCTTTATATATAAATGATTTCGACTTTTTTGTATAAATACCCAGAAGAAGGATTTCTGGGTCACATGGTAATTCTATTCTTAGTTTTTTGAGAAGATTCCATACTGTTTTCCATAGTGGCTGTAACAATTTGCATTCTCAACAGCAGTGTATGAGGATTCTGTTTCCCCTACAGCCTCCACAACTTGTTAGTCCTTATTCTGTTGATGATAGCCATTCCAGCAGGTGTGAGCTGGTATCTCATTGTGGTTGAGATTTGCATTTCTCTAATAGTGAGTGAAGTTGAGCATCTTTTCATATGTCTGTTGGCCATTTGTATGTCTTCTTGGGAGAACTGTCTGTTCACATCCTTTGCCCATTTTTCAGTAAGATTTTTTTTTTTTTTTATTGTTGAATTGTATGAGTTCTTTATATGTTTTTGAAATTAGGCCCTTCTTGGCAGCGTTGCTTGCAAATAACTTCTCCCATTCAGATGGTTGCCTCTTCGTCTTGTTGATGATTTCTTTTGCTAAGCAGAAGCTTTTTAGTTTGATATAGTCCCATCGATTTATTTTTGCTTTTACTTCCCTTGCTTTTGAGTTCAATCTATAAAATCTTCTCTAATTCCAAGGTTCGTGAGTTTAGCACCTCTGTTTTCTTCCATGCAATCTATTGTTTCAGGTCTTATATTCAAATCCTTAATCCATTTTGAGTTAATTTTGGTGTATGGTAATAGACAACAGTCTAGTTTCATTCTTTTGCAGGTGGCTTTCCAGTTTTCCTGGCACCATTTATTGAAAAGGCTTTCTGTTCTCCACTACATGGATCTTTTGTCAAAAATTCTTTGCCCATATATATGTGTTTATTTCTGGACTCTCAATTCTGTTCCACTGGTCTGTGTGTCTGTTTATCTGCCAATGCCATGCCTTTTCATTATTGTCACTTTGTAGTATAATATGAAGTCGGGCAGAGTGATGCTTCCAGCCTCGTTCTTTTTTCTCAGGAACACTTTGGCAGTTTGGGGTCTTTTCTGCTTCCATACACATTTGATAGGTTTTTGTTCTATTTCTTTTAAAAATGCCAGGAGGATTTTGTTAGGGATTCATTAAATCTGTATAATGCTTTAGGTAATAAGGTCATTTTAACAATATTGATTCTTCCTATCCAAAAATACAAAATATCTTTCCATTTCTTTGTATTCTTCAATCGCTTTTAATAACGTATTGTAGTTTTCATTATATAGGTCCTTCATATGTTCCATTAGATTTATTCCTAGGTATTTTATCATTTTTGTTGCAATTGTGAAAGGAATTATTTTTTCCACTTCTTTTTCTAACACTTCATTATTAGAGTATAGAAATGCTATGGATTTTTGAACATTGATTTTATATTCAGAAACTACTGTATTGGCTTACTGTTTCTACTGTTCTTGTGGAGTTTTTAGGGTTTTCTATATAAAGAATCATGCCATCTGCAAATAGTGACAGTTTGACTTCTTCATTTTCTATTTGGATGCCTTTTATATCTTTCTCTAGTCCAATTGCCCTTGCTAGGATCTCCAGTGTTACATTGAATAAGAGTGGTAATAGTGGATAGGCTTGCCTTGCTCCTGATCTTAAAGGGAAGGTTTTTAGTTTTTCACTATTAAGTATAATGTTGGCTGAGGTTTGTCATATATGGCCTTTCTTATGTACCCTTTTACCTTGCGCTTGCAGCTGTGATGTGTCTCTTGAAAGCATGTGGTTGGGTTTTGTTTTTTGATCTAATCTGCTATTCTGTGCCATTATTGGTGAGTTCAGTCCATTTATATTTAGAGTAATTATTGATATTGAGGATTTCTTGTAGCCATTTTATCTGTTGTGGTAGCTCAGTGTCTCTGCTGTTTCTTTGCCATTGTGTTTCTGTCTTTTGTTTTAGTTTCATGGTATTCTATGATTCTTCCCTATGCTTCCTCTTTTTTTTTTATGCTATATTTCTCAGTTTTGGATATTTTGTGTGTGGTTACCATTAAGTTTATGTAAAGGTAAGTTTCATATATATTCAGTAGTCCTCTTTTGTCTGCTTGCATCTTACTTCCATTCCTCTTTGCAGATTCAAATTTTTACTCCAACCCCTTTTTTTGTAGTCTCAATTTGTCTCTTTTTATGCTGTGGGTTCATTTCTAGGTTTCAGTAGCTGTTTTCTTCTTTTTTTAAAGAGTTTTTTTTTTACCTTTATCAATCAATATTTAAGTTTATAATACTGCTTTTAATAAGGATTGCAATTTTCTGTCTGTCATTTTACTCATAGTTTTGTATTTTTTTGTTCTTTAGTTTCCGATAGAATAACCTCCTTAAGTATTTTCTTAATGTAGGCTTTGTGGTGGAAAATGTCCTCAGCTTCTGTATGTTTAAAAAGGTCTTTTTTCCTCCTTCACATTTGCAGTAGAACTTTGCTGGATATATATTATTTTTGGCTGGTAATTTATCTTTTTTAATATTTTGAATATTTGATTTTATTTCCTCCTATCTTGTACAATTTCTGCTTAAAAATCAGATGATAATTTAATAGGTCTTCTTTTTTCTAGCTGCCTTGTGAGTTCTCTTAGTCATTCATTTTTGACAATTGTAATATAATGTGCCTTGGAGTGGGTATTTTTGGATTGAGATAATTAGGTGTCTATTCGCTTCTTGAATTTAAGGGTGCTTTACTGGGTCTTCTTTTTTCTAGCTTCCATTTCAATGTGGAGTTCCCCCCCCCCGCCCCCGCCCCCCATTTTCTCAATGTCTAGGAGTTTCTCAGCTAGTTTTTCTTTGTTTGTTTGTTGTTAGAGGAAATTGTTCCATATGTATCTTTAGATTCAGTGTGTTTATGGGAGGACTTCTTCAATGGTTTTTTGTTGAAAATAAATATTTAACCACTATAAAAAGGGATTTCCATTGACTTTTTCCCATACTACCATTTTTTTGTTTGTTTTTTTTTTAATTACTTTCAAGTATACAATACATTGGTTAGATATCTGTATAGTTCGTAAAACGATACCCCCAATTCCTCCCTTTCTCCCCTGGCCCTCCACATTGCCAATGTATTAATGCTAACTACATTCTCCCTGCCATGCTTCCCATCCCCATGACCATCCATCAGTTACTAATTTGTACTTCTTTAACCCTTCACCCCAAACCTCCCTCCCCTCTGTCTGTCACCAAATTGTCCACTATATTTGTGAACTGTCCACTATTTGTGAGTCTGTTTTTGATTAGTTTGTTGTTTTTATTCGTTAGATTCATATAGTGTTTATCTTTCTCTGTCTGATTTAAATACCTTCTTGGTCCATCAAAGCAATATCTTTTTCCATCCTCTTCCTTTTAGTCTGTGTGTGTCTTTTAATCTGAAGTGAGTCTCTTGTAGACAGCATGTAAGGGTATTGTGTTCTTATCCTTTCATCATTCTATCTTTCAGTTAGAGCACGTAATTCTTTTCCATTTGAGGTACTGGTTGATAGGAATGTAGTTGTTACCATTCTTTCTTCATGTTTGTAATATATGATTTTTCTTCTTAAAGAAGTGCCTCCAACATTTCCTATTATACTGGCTTTGTGGTGATAAAGTCCTTTAGTTTCTTTTTACATGGGAAGCTCTTTATCTGTCCTTCAACTTTAAAGGATAGCTTTGCTGGATAAATTATACTTCGTTCTAGATTCTGGGTCTTCATCCTGTCGAATATTTTTTTTCCAAGCCCTCTGTCCTGCATAGTTTCTTTTGAGAAATCGAGCGGCCAGTATTATGGATGTTCCCTTATAGGTAACTGTTTTTCTCTTGCTGCTTTTAAGATTCTTTCTTTGTATTTAAACTTTGGCATTTTAATTATGATGTGTCTGGGTGTGGGATTCTCTGAGCTTCCTGGGTTTTATGTCCTTTTCCTTCAGCAAGATAGGGATGTTCTCCACCATTATTTCTTCAAACAGATGTTCGACATCTTGATTTCCTTCAGGTACACCAATCAGATGACTATTTGGACACTTAATAGTGTCCCATATGCTCCTTAAATTATTTTTATAGTCTTGGCATCTTTTTCTTGACATTCTGACTAAATGTCCTTGGCTTTCCTGTCTTCTAGATAGGTCATTTGATCCTTTTCTTTATTCATTTTGTTTATTCCATTTAACATACTTCTCATCTCAGGTAATGTGTGCTTCACTTCAGACTGGCTCCCTTTATAAACTCCATTTCCATTTTTATGTTCTTTATCTCTTCATTGAAGTTCTCACTGAATTTATCTACACTTCCCAAAAGTTCATTGAGCATCTTTATAACCAGTGTTTCAATTCTGCATCTGTTAGATTACTCGACTCCATTTTATCTGGATCTCTCTGCTGTTCTCTCTTATGGCTTCTGCTTCTTTGTCTTCCCATTTTGGCTGCCTTTCCATGTCTGTTTCTATGTACTAATCAAAGCTCCTCAGTCCCCCTGTCTTATCCAGCCTGTGACCCTCTAGGGTCACCTGTTAAAATTCAGCAAGCAGTTCAGAGATGCTGTCTTTGTAGTTGCCTCAAAAGGCCACACCAGAAACCAAGGCCAGCTGCCTGCAGTGTGAGTCTAGGCGCTGCTCAGCAAGGACCGCCTGACTCGCTGAGGATATACCTGGATGTGGCTTGGGTGGGACTGTGAGTTGAGGAAGGCAGGGTTTCAGGGACTCTGCTGGGCAGAACAACCTCTGTTATCCAGTGTGATGACATCACGGCTATGTCCAGTGCACTGAGAGCGGAGAGGGCTCAACAGGGAACAATGAATACTGCTGGCACTTCTGTACAGAGCGAATCTCACTCCGGGCCTCACTCCAACGATCCAGTGTCCTCCTACAAGTCCCTGGTGCCCCCTGCAAAGCTGACCGCTATTTAAAGGGTTGAGAATTTTTTCTACTGCTGATGATAATATAACCAGCTAGTATTTTGGAGACATGTAATACTGGCAGGGACTGTGAAAAGTTGACATTAGTGGAGCTGTTTCAAAATGGACTAGAGCAGCAATCCCAAAGGAACTGCCTTGAAAAAGACTAAAGATTATAACTCTCTCCCTGAAGATAGAATTAGTATAGCTACAGAGTGACTTGACTTCTAACATCACTAGAAATGTTTCTCCTATTCATGTAATTATTTCCCTTCTTCTCTCACAAACTCTCTTGTTTTTAACATCTAATCAGGACATTATTTGAGTTTCTGCCTGAATCTGTGCAGCCAGAAATTCAATTCTTTTTTATTGCTTCTCATTTTGGCTAGTTATTTTTAGGTTAACGACATATAGCATATACTATTTTACTCAATCTTCACAATAAAGTTCTTATGAGAACAATGAATACTATTCATGATGAGAAAAAAGAGGAGTAAACATTAAGAAGTTTAGTTAAGATTATATAATGCCAAGCTTTAGTCCCCTCCTTTAATTCCAAGGTCTATGTCTCTGATCCCTGACACATTTAGGTAAACAAAGTCTACTCAGAAGTAAGGAAGGAGATGTGTTGCTTCAAGCCTTAGTGGAATGCTGCCATAGCCGTTATGTCATCAAACTACATAACAAAGGTTTCTCTGTCTAGCAGATTCCCTGAAACCTTGCCTACCCCAACTTTATTTAGGGTTTGTGCTTGTGCTAAATGCTTCCAAAGAGAAAGTAGGGGACGTAAAAGAAGTTTAGTAATTGCGTATCTCAGCGATTCTTGTCAGGGTATACAGAGAAGGAGTAGGTCAGTTATTCAATCACTCAAAATATCAGGGTTGTAAGTTACATTGCAGATGCAATGTGTCTTTGGGAGAAACATTTCTCTTGGCTTTGTCCCTGGCCTTGTATGTATACATCACAATCTGAGTATTAGTGAGGAGAAATCTTATTTGCTCCCATTCACTGACCCAACTTAATTCCTCACTATCTCTCATCTACTGATTTTAATATTTCAGCTTTACCTTCTCATCTTCTATATTACAAAACCAGAGTAAATACCTAAAACATAAATATGACAACAGTGAGCCTCTATTTAAAATCTTTCAATGGTTCTCCACTGCCTGTAGAACATAACTATAGAACATGGTTTACTAGTCAGCATGGTTTACTAGTTCCTCCAAGAAAACGTAGCTTCTGTTCAACTCTGTCATTGTACTCATTGATATTCTGGAATTGAACTTCAAATTCGATGGTAAAATTATTCTTATTTTTGGCAGATCCCACATTATTTTGTCCTAGTACCTTTGTTTGTGGTCTGTGCAACACCATTCCCAACCTTGTGTTTAATACTCAACTCACAACAATATAAATGTACTTAGTTCCACTGAGCTCTACACTTAAAAATAGTTAAAATGGTAAAATTTATGTTGTATATATTTATGCACAATTAAAAACAAGAAGAGCAATGTACAAAAAAAAATAAGTTGTTTCAAGAAAGTAATTTGCAACAAGCAGTAAATAAATAACAGGGATATAATGTACAGTTGAGTGGATATAGACAATTTTGTACAATAATTACCAAACTTAGTAAAAGACTACAACTTAATTAGTCCATGCAGAAAAAATAAAATAATCATTGCTAGTGGCATTCATATTGCAATATATAAATGTATCATATTAACATATAGAGCTTAAAATAACACGATACATGTTGAAATAATTTTTTTAAATTTTTCGGGAAAAAAAAAAAAAAAAACCTCGTCAGTGTGAAAGGATTGTGCTAGGTAAGTATGCAGTACATATTATCTATGAATTGGTATCCTGGCCCTAAATAATAAATCCCTGGGAGGCAAGGGTTGCAACTGTGCAGCCCAAAGAATTAAGTTCAGGATTCAGGTAGTTCAACAAAACAATGGAGTATGGGAGCTTCGTCTGATGGGGTAGGACGTGGAGCTGGGGAACAGGTGAGGCCTGGATAAAGGAACCGTGTTGGATGAGTTTCCGGAGTTCACGAGGAAAAGGGGGAGGGGGTGGCTCTTAATCTCCCAGCAACAAGATACCCACTAAGTAAATTCTCAGAGGAAAAACAATTAGTTCCACAGCCGAGAAGGAACTTGCGAAAGATTTCTCCAGAAGGAGACACTGGTTTACAAAAGGTTTTATCAGGTGAGCAACTGACAGAAGACTCCACTCTTCCGTGTTTGTTCTCTTCCGGGAGGCAGAGCAACCGCGTTTCCGTCCTTAGGCCCACCTTTTCCGGCCGGCTCTTGAGCTCGGAGGGGGCGAGGTCAGACCGCGGCGTCGGAGAAGATGTTTACAGGGAAACCGAGGTAAGCTGGTTGGGAGAGAGGGGCTGGTGAGAAAACGAGCTGCAGCTGACAGAGCTGGACACGGAGATTTCAGGCAGGAAAGAAAAGGAAGCTGGGCTGATTAATCTGGGCGTTGTCGGGGCTGCCAAAAGAAATAGCAGTATCGAAAAAACCTACGGTCTAGGAATGGAGCTGCGAAGCGATGGTACATGCCGGTTGTGTAATCAAAATACCGTGAAAAAATTTCATTTTTGAGCACATTAAAATCGCAGCGATTTCTTCTCACCGGACGCAGAAGAAAGAGCTGCTGGTGCGGCGCTGACGCTGGTTTATGTCTCCATCTTCCAGCCACAAGAAGTACAGGGCCTTAATGAAAAAGGAAAAACGAAAAAAACGTCGACAGGAACTCGCTCGATTGAGACACTCAGGTAACGGAATCCTCGTCTTCTTTTCTGTGTATAAAGTTGTCTCCTATTCCCTTATCTCATTCTTGTCAACTTCAGGTTACAGTGTTAAAATATCTGATGAACAATTACGATGACTGTTGCATCCTAAATAAAGTTTTGTTAGACCCATGTAAAGGGAAATTTATGCTGAATCATCAGTTAGCAATTACATTTAAGTATAAAGTACCTAATATTGGGAACACTTTTTAATTACAGTCACCAGGCTCAACCCTTGCATATAGTTAGTACTTTGACTTTTTCTTTATAAATCCAGCATTGGTCGAGGATTTTGATTAGACATAAGTTTACTATTATTGTTATTAAATATTTAGAAGCATAAAACTGGTTATGAAACTCTTATTTACAAATCAGAAAGCCAAATAAAATTCAGGAACTTATTCAAATCTACATCAGTATAATGTTAGGATTATGTGTAACAAATGATCAGAACACAATTATGGTGCTAATGCTTATAAATACATATTTTTGGCATTTAAAATGTCTCTGACTATTGGCCTGTCCTGTATTTGCCCCTTTTTTCTATAAATAAAACTAGAACCTTCATGTATACATCTCTCCATTATGTTTTTGGCCTTAACATTGCACAACCTAACCTTTATGTGTAAAGCTATGCTTTAATGCAATAAATTAAATACTATTTATCTAACATAGTTAAAAATGCAAGTGGAAGCACTTAAATACACAGCAGTATAGGATTCTAATGGTTATCATTCACATGTTCCACAATATGCTTAGTAAATTGTCACAGATAGCTCTAAAAATCCACTAACTATGGCCTCAAGTAACCAGGACCCTTGGGCTTTGAAAAACAAAAAAAATACAACTAAACATAGAGAAACAGCCATAGTGGTTTCATTTACCGTGTGTATTTCCAGGTGATTATTTTATTAACAGTACGTCTGTCGCTGGTTCTGTGGAGTCCTGCAACGCCTGGATCCCAATTCTTGGCCCTATCAACAAAGAATTGAAGGCAGCCCCCCCAGAAACTGAGTGTACTCAAGCTAACTTTATTAAAAGTGACTTCTAGAAGGGAGAATAAGCCATCAGGGGCAGATCAGCATTGAAAACAAAGTAAGCTCACTCTCAAAAGGGAGAGCAAGCTGCCAAAAGTAGTCAGCCCCAAAGATTTCTGCCAAGTGAAAGTATACTGTCAGATGAGAAAGCAAGCAGGCTCCAGGGAAAGCTGTTGCGTCATTCATTGTGCGTTTGGGCATTTTATCCATTAATCTATGAGGCAGAATATTCATTATTTTGGGTGGTCACTTTGAGTAAAGGAGGTGTTTTTTTCTGGAATTAAGGAGATGCCCCTTTTCCTACTATGTTTGGACTTTTTGGAACTGTCATGAGTCAGATGTATGATGGGTACAGCCTTAATCACAATGCTAATTTATTATAATGATTGCATAATGCAGCAAAGGTGAATTCTAGGTCACACTAGCTATCCTATGCATGCCTATGTTGGGGACTTTCCCTATCCCCTTTATTTTCCACTTTAGCAGGAAGTTTTAAACTACAAAACTGCTTCAGTACGTCAAAGCTATTGTTCAAGGCTGTTTTTCATTTCAGTGGCTCTGGGGAAGGGTCCTGATGTAACTCCTACCTCACTTCGAATATTTGGAATTGAGTGATCATTCTGTTCACCTGCAATATGTAATGTCCTTTTTTTATTACTACTTGGAAACTGGTCCAATATATTCAGGACAGAGTATCAGGAATAAACGGAAATCGTGTTGAAGTTACACTTGTATTTCATTTTTTCATTTCTAAAATTCTCAATTATCACACATTATTTAATCTTTTCTTATAGCAGACAGTTTTTTTAAAAAACCTCTTTTTATTTTTCCCTGTTTTAAATTCAGTAATAGCTTATGTTTGCATTGTGTGGAATTCTTTTCCTTTTTATTTTGCAAAGTTCATTCACAGCAAGTCTTGCTAGAGAGTCACTTAGATCAGGTCCTTTGGTGAATTAGTTTGTTGAAAGATATAGGTCACTGCTGTGCTTGGGATTATAGCTAATGCTATTTCCAAGACTAAGCAGCTTATTATTATTATTAGCTCTGCTCCTAGTTTTGTCTACTTTGACTCAAAATTCTTTACCTAGTGATACTGTGGAATAAGAAACTGCTGTTCATTCATTGTATCACATTGAATAGGCAGACATTACCCAGAGTCTAGAACACAGAGTATTGCTGTTAGAGGAATTTTGCTAATAATTGGTAGAAATTTATGAAATATTGATCTCAATTATAGATATCCTTTTGACGACCTGTTCCACTTTATGTAATCTGAAATCAACTACCTTGTCACAATTTAGGGTAATATAAAATGTAAAAAGATAGTTAAAACCCTTTAACACAATTAAATTTATTGTACTTACATGCTGCAGTCCCCAACCTTACTAACACTAGGGACTGATACTCCTATGAGAGTAACGCCTGATGATCTGAGGTGGGGCTGAGGTTGTGAGATGGGGAGCGATTGCAAGTACAGGTGAAGCTTCTCTCTTTTGCCACCTACTCAGCTGCGCAGTGGTGCACTGATGGCAACTGATAGCGTCGTGGTCTGAGTGTTGGAGAGCCCTGCATGTATATGTATGTTTGCATATATTTGGTTATACTTCTATACAGAAAGCTACACATTGAAGTGATTGTAATTACCTATGTAAGGTGTGTGAGCTTGGTTTTGGGGGTCTGGGAGTGTTGAATGAGTCAACACATATTTTTGAGTATCAGCTGTGTCTGGGCAATAGACATACCTGTATAAATAAGTCATGTCCTCTGTGCCAGTTTTGGTCATTTATTTATCTGAATAATTGTTTGAGTTCAGTTATCCTCCATATGTGTTTGTTGAAATAGTAAAGTGCACATGCTTAGAAAAGTAAGTTAATCTAGGACTCAGTGAGCCTTTGGTTAAACCTATCAGTATATGTGACAGATAAAAATCTTTTAAGCTTGCCATCTCCTGAATCATGAACAACTTCTGTTGCATTTCCTTAAGGTTGCTTCAGTTTCCCCTTTGCTCATCTCTACTCTTACTGCCATTTTTTTTTCCTCTAGAATTTAAATTTCAAATTGGAAGGGATATAATTTGTGGGAAAAATAATTTTTTCATGTTATTTTGAAAATGTTCCAATTTACAGAACGTTGAAAAAATAGTACAGTAAACATCTATAATTGTTTACCTAGATTTGCCACTTAACATTTGTCCTCTTTTTTCCCTTTTTTCTCTATATACATATATAAATGAATATATGTATACATACATAGATACATGTTCATATATACATACTTTCTGAATAATTTACAAATCTATTTGATATATATTTCACATCTAAACATATCAGTTTGCATCTCCAAAGAATAGGGACAATTTCCTACAAATCATAACATAAAATTTGCACCTATGTAAATAAGAGTCTAATGTATGACATACTACTGGTTATAGATATACCCAGAATTGAGATACATGTAAAACCAGGCATATATGTTACATATACATTACGTATATATTGTTTCTGAATCACCTTCCAAAATTCAGGTTCTTATGACCAATGTGAAAGTAAAGCCAAAAACATTGAAGATAGAAAAAGATTTATTTGATTTCACCAAAGCAAAGACAGGAAAACAAGATATCTCAAATTTATCTCTCTCCAAAAGCAAAAGTAGGGAGTTTTTATGGGGCCAGGGAGTAGAGCAGGGAAAAGTTCCAGAGAACAGAGAGAAGTGTGTGTAATTTTCAGTCATAGATCATGCTTTTTATATAAGACTCCTGGACATCAGCAGCTGGTAGCAACTACCTTGAAAACATTCTTTCTGAGAAACAAATTCATAAATTCTCTTTGAGAACTTGGAATTATCTCCTGCTTGACAAACAGCACATCAGCAACACAAAATGTGAGAACAAGAGGTGCAGGGTTTTAGAACCAAGATTGTGCAAAATATCTAATAATTGTGCATCAGTGATGTTATTTTTAAAGCAAATGAAGAAACTACACATATTGTGACTGTCGCCATCATTTAAGTTAGCATTGTTTTGTGCTAAACTGGCTACTTTTTTCTATTATCTCAAACAAAGTGTACTTTTAAACACTGCTTGGAACTTGCTTTCCAGACAGACCTCTAGGACATGCCTGATCTTTGGACATCTATTTTAAAAAAATTTATTTATTTTCATTAGATTCAAATATACAGTACATTAGTTAGATATCTATATAGTTTGGATCCCCCCAATTTCTTCATCTCTCCCCTGGCCCTCCACCTAACCAAGGTATTAATGCTGACTGCATTCCCTATGCCGTGCTCCCCATCCCTGTAACCATCAAGTACTAATTTGAACTTCTTTAACCCTTCACTCCCCTCTCCCACTCCCCAAACCCCACGCCCCTCTGTCACCAAATTGCCCACTGTTTTTCATTAGTTCTTCTTATTCCTTAGATTCTGCATATAAGTGAAATCATACAGTGTTTATCTGACTTAAATACCTTCTAGGTCCATCAAAGCAATGTCTTTTTCCATCCCCTCCCTTTTCATATGTAGGGGTCTTGTTTTCTTATCGTTTCAGCCACTCTATCTTTCTGTTTGTAATATATGATTTTTCTTCTTAAAGAAGTGCCTCCAACATTTCCTATTATACTGGCTTTGTGGTGATAAAGTCCTTTAGTTTCTTTTTACATGGGAAGCTCTTTATCTGTCCTTCAACTTTAAAGGATAGCTTTGCTGGATAAATTATACTTCGTTCTAGATTCTGGGTCTTCATCCTGTCGAATATTTTTTTTCCAAGCCCTCTGTCCTGCATAGTTTCTTTTGAGAAATCGAGCGGCCAGTATTATGGATGTTCCCTTATAGGTAACTGTTTTTCTCTTGCTGCTTTTAAGATTCTTTCTTTGTATTTAAACTTTGGCATTTTAATTATGATGTGTCTGGGTGTGGGATTCTCTGAGCTTCCTGGGTTTTATGTCCTTTTCCTTCAGCAAGATAGGGATGTTCTCCACCATTATTTCTTCAAACAGATGTTCGACATCTTGATTTCCTTCAGGTACACCAATCAGATGACTATTTGGACACTTAATAGTGTCCCATATGCTCCTTAAATTATTTTTATAGTCTTGGCATCTTTTTCTTGACATTCTGACTAAATGTCCTTGGCTTTCCTGTCTTCTAGATAGGTCATTTGATCCTTTTCTTTATTCATTTTGTTTATTCCATTTAACATACTTCTCATCTCAGGTAATGTGTGCTTCACTTCAGACTGGCTCCCTTTATAAACTCCATTTCCATTTTTATGTTCTTTATCTCTTCATTGAAGTTCTCACTGAATTTATCTACACTTCCCAAAAGTTCATTGAGCATCTTCATAACCAGTGTTTTGAACTTTGCATCTGTTAGATTCTTGACTCTATTTTATCTGGATCTCTGTTCTTTTCTCTCATGTGGCTTCTGCTTCGTCTTCCCATTTTGGCTGCCTTTCCGTGTCTGTTTCTATGTAGTAATGAGCAGAAGTCCTAAGTCTCCCGGCCTTATTAGAGTGGATTTGTGAAGGTGTCCAGTGGCACAGTCTGGAGAGGAGTTCAGCTGCAGGCCAGATTTGGCCCCAGCCTGTGACCCTCTAGGGTCACCTGTTAAAATTCAGCAAGCAGTTCAGAGATGCTGTCTTTGCAGTTGCCTCAAAAGGCCACACCAGAAACCAGGGCCAGCTGCCTGCAGTGTGAGTCTAGGCGCTGCTCAGCAAGGACCGCCTGACTCGCTGAGGATAAACCTGGATGTGGCTTGGATGAGCCCACGAGTTATGGGAGGTGGGGTTTCAGGAAATCCTCTTGGTTGAACCACCTCTGTTATCCAGTTTGATGATTTCGTGTCTGTGACAGTTCTGTTTCCATGCACTGGGAGGTGAGAAGGCTCAACAGAGACCAATGGATACCGCCAGCACTTCCGTGCAGAGTGAGTGTTGCCTCGGCCCTCAGTCCGAAAATGTGTCCCTGTAAGTTCCTGGTGCTCCCTGTGCACAGCCAAATGGTCACTGGTGCTCCGAGCAAGCAGGTTTGTTACTGCGAAAGTATGCTTGCAGACACGGCCCCTTTAAGAGTCATCTGCCGCTGCCACAGCCTCTGTGTCACTCAGCCGCTAGGGACCAGGCAGCCCCATGTCCTCACCCCATCCTACTTTCTGCCATTGTAGGGTGATTTCCTGTCTTTCTCCATAGTATGGCTTGTTCGTCTAGATCTCAGGAGAGTTTTCCTTGCTGCTGCTCCTAATTTCTGTCACAACTCTGATTTACTCGCCAGAGAGATGAACAGAGCCTCTGTCACCTACGCCATTTTTTTTTCCCTGTCTCTCCTTGGACATTCTTAATCTTTGACCATAAGCTACATGACAACCAAAGCAAATGAAACATTTAAAATGTTACCTATATCTTAATTAGAATTAAATTATTTAATTTTAGATGATGAAAATACTAGCGGTATTGAAACAAAAGTGGTTCAGCTACTATATTACATACGTGATTGATTATGTTGAAAAGCTGAAGCCAGTTATCTTACGAAGTCATATAAAATGCCTTCCATTTTGGATGTTTGGTATATTCTCATGTTACACTCTATATGGCAAAATAATACAAAGAAGATGTTACATACTTTTTGCTACATTAAGAGGCCTGTAAATCAAGTTGCTTCACTCTTGGTCGTATACATGTGCTTTAATTTGCTGTAATCTGATGTTTATCTCTCCCACCCTCAAATTCATATGTTGAAATATTAATACAATGAAATGTCCAATGCCCAAATTCATATATTGAAATCCTACCCCACAATATGATGGTGTTATGAGAATGGCATTTGGGAGATGAGATGGTGGTGATGCAGGGCAGGGCAGCTTACCCCAAGTTAGTGGGGAGAGACCAGCCCTGCACTGAGAGAAGAGGGTTCTTTGATGGAGAGTGAAGAAAGAATTCAATACATACACCAAAGTTAGAGTCAAAAAGAGAGTTTATAGAAAAGGGGTGACACTCCACAGACAGAGCTGGTCCCTTCTCAGAGGCGGACAGTCAGAGGAACAGTGAGAGACAGTAAAGGCACTGAGAGGGACCTGAGTGTTCAAGGAATTCATTCTTTACGTCATTCTTTAGTTCCCGTTTCCTTTGATATGGACAATGAGAAGGGGCAGGATAGTTAGTGTGAAAAGGTAAGCATATGTAGAGTGAAAGGCCTACTGGCAGTTCCCAGCCTTGGACCCGTAGGTTCCCCATGGTTTTAGCCATAGGGAATGACTCTTGGTTCCTGTTTCCCCTTCACAGGTGTGGGGAATGGGTTGTTAGCAATCCTGGTAGAAATCTACCTTTGTTCTGAAGGTGTCCCCCTGACTTGGCTGCAGGCCTGATCAGGACTTTGCAGGCTCTGATTTTGGCTAGATTCACATTTTAATTCTCTTGCCTCCTTTCTACATTAAGAGGATCTTAATTGAGGAGCTTGGAATCATTGTGAATGGGATCGGTGCCCTTACAAGAAAAGGTGCCACAGAATTCCCTCACCCATTCTGCCAGGTGATGCCACAAATGTATGAGACTTGGTCTGGAAGTCTGATATCAGACTTCCACCCTCCCGAACAGTGAGAAAAAAATATTTATTGTTATATAAGTGCTCCAGTCTGTGGTATATTTTATAGCAGCTCCAATGGACTAAGAGCTGTTGTCCTAGATTGATACAATGTAAAAGTATATTTTCCCACTTTATAATTTATTAGTACTAGTCTGTGGGATGATATATTGAAGTGGTGTAAATATCCTGCGCCTAACAACTTTTCATCCAGTGTTTTTAGCAGCTTTGCCTAAAATACTTTTTAGGTAGATGTTTCAAAAACAATTTCTTTTTTAGATGCCTTTATTTTGTAAAGATGTGTGTTCCTTCACATCCTTGCAGCCTTTTCCAGTGTCATGACTAATGCATTTTTTTAAAAAAATTTAATGTGTTACTCATTACTCAAATTATCTTTTAATGTTTAGAGTTTCCAAAATTTTGTCATTTGAGCAGATTTTGAATAACAGATGTGTACCATTTTGGCAAAAATAAAAAAAATTATATGTTTAAATATTTTCCTAAATCATTGACCAAAGTTTTACAGCACTCATTTTAATAAACATTTAAATTCCGTCAGGACTGTCACAAAAAGAAGAGGATGCTAGTAATGAAGAACAACTAAAAGAAGAGAAGCTATCGGAGATAGAGAGGTCAGCACTGATTTAAAGCTTGAAGTTAAATCACTTATTTTATTTGAGTATTGTAAGGCTTTCCCTAATACAAATTTTCTTTATAAAAACTGGTACATTGTTGATAGAGAGACTGCATGTGTTGAGGCAAAAAGATATATGGTAACTCTGTACTTTCCCCTTAATTTTGCTGCCTCACAACTGAAGTCTTTTTTAAAATAAAAAAGAAGTTTAATGAAAAAAATATACTCTGTGTAGGCCCAAATAACAACTGAGTCGTACAACCTAATTTAAATTTCGTAGGGGCTCTAATATCAGAGAAGGGAAGATAAACCTCACTGTAATCTCAAGAACTCTTAAATGTAAAGATGAGCCACAGAAGGTCATATTCAGGTGAAAACTTGCTTTTCCTTCAGTCATTAATGTGACATAGAATGTGAAGTATCACTCCAAGTGGTAAAGGTGATTCTTTGTTATTATTTATGTAACCATTTAGCCTGGCTTTTTTTTTTTTTTTTTTGAAGAGTAAATTAATTTCATTGACGGATAAAAAACTAAAGCAGTAAGAAGTATAGATAGTAAACAATAATTATTGAGTTCTGCTGAAATTCTTTTTCTTTTCACTTTAAGCCAAAAGGACCAAAAACTACAGACTGTTAGTGAGCTAATAGTTTAAGCATTTCTTTTACAAAAACTGCATAGTTTAGCATTGCACAGTATTAAATTTATACATTTTTGGAAAACCCTGAAAGTTTTAATTTTTATGTTTCTTTATAAGATGAAGAAATCATTATATAATTTGTTTCTGTAAGAGTTTTTTCTATGTTTATTGATTATTTGAATTACTAATAAGACTTTCATTTACTGATTTTTTTAATGAGTTAATGATATACTTTGTGTTAATTTACAGAATACATTTGGTATATAAAAAAACTTGCACAAAACATGATGCAGTACATAAAATGTTTTTTAACACATGGATAAGGTTTATTTTAGATTTTGTTCAGATAGAAGAATAAATTTTTCTATACATTGTACAATTGTAAACATATTATAGAATATGACAATAACAGTCTTTGCGGATTATGTCAGGACTTCCTAAGAAATATGTATGATAATTTTTGTCACTTGTGAAAATAAGCCTTTTGAGATACAATCCAAAATATAATAACTCCAGGATGATATATATCTATTTATAAATAATTGTTTTTCTTAGTAAGAATTTATTTCTATATATAATAATAGTAATGAACTTAATTCTGTGGGAAAGGAACTGATATCATTAAATGTTAAGATATGTCAATTGGAAAGCCAAAGGTATTAAATCTGGACAATTGACAGTTTATTACAGCCAAGTTTGTAAATGGCTGCTATTATTTTATATTGTGTTGTTGTAACAGTCTTAAAACCTTCACCACACATAACATTTGCCTCTGATTCGTCTCTTTTTCTAGATTTAATAAAACATTCGGATACTCTAATATACAGATCTCTCAGACGTGCTTGTGTGCAAGTTGGATCTTATTTGTTGGGATACAGATGTTTAGCTCCTTGTAATTTCAAGGGGACATATCTCTCACGCTACCGTGCTTCTGACATCAGTATCCCATAAAATATTTGTGTTCCTAGCTGATGGGCTGTAATTGCTACCAATCAAAAAGTTCATACACCTAGCACCAGCAGAGCCAAACACTGAACACCAGAATTTCAGTGGAGAAATTAGATTTACTTTCTAGGTAGCACTAAGCAGGAATAGGAAAGCTAATGTTCAAAAGCTCAAACTTCCCATTTACTTATTGGCAGTTGGCTTTAAAGGGTGGAATTCGGGGGCAGACGTATTCAGTACGTGGGCAGCTAGCTCATGGGTATCTTCTGATTGGTTGGAGCTGGAGTTACAAAGAGATATTTTTAGAATTTTTGGGTCATCAGCCCTGCAGTGCCATCTAGTCTGGGGTTTACAGGACTGTGGTCAGTGACAGTCTGCAGTTTTCTATCTTGTGGGGGTTCTGGTTTCTGTAAAACTTCTCAAGGTATATGTCAATATGTTATCCGTGATTCCAGAGGGGACACTAGTGCCCCAAGATCTTGATTTATATCTGAAAAAGTTGACTTTGGTAAATATAAGGAAGAGGGTCTTGAGTCTGCTTACTTTGTGGGGATGCTTTGTCGAGAAGGGAATCTGGCTCAGTTTTAAAACTGCATATTGTCTTTTTTTACAAAAGTATTTTTCGCTGATTTTGTTGACTCATAAATGTGTATGCGAAAAGGCAAAGAATTAAGAAGATATAAAAAATTAAAGGGCAGCAATAAATTCCCAAAGATAGCTACTGTTAGAAGGAGTTTAATGCAAATGTTGATACAAGCGTATATATTGTTGGGGGGTGATATTTACATATATAATCTATACTTTTTTTGCTGAAGATAAAATACATATTTTCAGTATCAATGCAGGGATTTCATTCAGCTGTCTTAATGGCAATATAGTTTCAGTTGTATGGATCTAGCATAATTTATTTTTAATAATTTATAGTTCTCTTATGGACACTGAGGTTATAATAACTTTTAATTAAAAATAGGTTTAAAATTTAAATTAAAAGTTACAGTTAGATTCTGGGAAAACGTGGTGGAGTGAGAGACGTCCTTAGATCTCTCCCCTTGAAACAACAATAAGCTGAACATCTAAAAGTGAACTAAAAACACCCAAACTTCACACCAGCACATCTGAGCATGGGATCTTTGCATAAGAGCTACCATAGGTCAGATCCCCTGGTGTCAGGCGGTGGACTGGAAGAAATAAAGAAGCTGCCTCTCATAGCCCCTGGACTTCTTACATGAGGAGGCGGAGGGCTGAAGGTGCAGTGACTTCCCTGATCAGCTTGCCTAGAAGTGCTAGGTCTTTTCTGTGCAGCTGGCAGCAGGGCGCAGTCAATCAGGACAGAAAACAAAGAAGTGGGATGGGGCCGCAGAGAAACAATAGTTGATTTCTACCAGTACTGGTTGCAAAACCGAGGCTGAGCCGCAGCCGCCAACCCCCAACCCAGAGGGCCCTTCCCTCCATATCCTCCAAGACTGATCACCGCAGAGCCCCAGGGGAACCAGAGCAAACACTACTGAAACTGTTGCTAATACTGACAGGGACTGAAACTGAGAGTAGAGAGTGTTATTAAAATCTACAAGAAAATAAAAGATGTTATGCTTTATATAAAGCAGGGATCCAAGAGGCTTGGATACCACCTGCTTAAAACCAAAGGAAAGCATCCTCTTTGCATCAGGCTAAAGAGAAAGACCTTTATTAAATAAACCTTCTTTCTGGAAAAACAACAGAATACACTTCCATTAATGCCCATATGGAGAAATAGTCCATTAAACACCGTGAACAACCAAGATGACAAAGCATCTCAGAAAGGGAAAAATCTCTAGAAAATGAGCTTACAGACATAGAAATATGCAACTTAAGTGACAGAAAATTCAGGATGGTACTTCTGAAAAAACTCAGTGAGTTCTGAAACGAGTCATGTCAGTAATTTCAGAAATTGCGAACACAGCTAGGTAAGCAGAGCAAAGAGATTGAAACCCTCAAAAAGGACCAAACAGAACTTCTGGAGATAAAAATATATTTGCAAGCGATGCCTCCAATAAGAGCCTAATATCCAAAATATACAAAGAACTCATATGACTCAGTAACAATAAAATAAATGATCAGATCAAAAAATGAGCGGAGGACCTAAACAGACACTTCTCCCTAGAGGACATACAAATGGCCAATAAATATATGAAAAGATGCTCAACATCGCTAGCTGTTGGGGAAATGCAAATGAAAACCACAATGAGATACCATCTCACACCTGTTAGAATAGCTATAATCAACAGGGCAAGTAATAACAAATGTTGGAGAGGATGCGGAGAAAAAGGAACCCTCGTACTTTGCTGGTGGGACTGCAAATAGGTACAGCCGCTATGGAAAACAGTATGGAGGTTCCTCAAAAAACTAAGAATTGATCTGCAATATTATCCCGCAATCTCACTACTGGGTATTTACCCCAAAGACTTGAAAACCCATATCCTAAAAGATGTTTGCTCCGATATTCCTAGCAGCACTATTCACAGTGGTCCAGACGTGGAAGCAACCAGAGTGTCCTATGATAGATGATTGGCTAAAGAAACTGTGGTACATATATACAATGGAATATTACTCGGCCTTAATAAGAAGAGATGAAATACTGCTGTTTGTGACAACCTGGATGGACCTTGAGATGATCGTGCTGAGTAAAATAAGCCAGACTGAAAAAGTTGAAAATCACATGATATCACTTATATGTGGGCTATAAACCTAAAAGCAACAAATGAATAGGACAAACAAACAGAGCTCAAAGACATGGACAATGTACTAGCGGTTACCAGAGGGTAGCAGGTGGGAGAGGAGGGGAAAGGTAGAAATTTTTGATACTGTATGTCCAAGTCACTTGCCATTTTAAGGTAACATCTCTCATAACTGATTGTTCTTATAGACAGACAGCTATTGATTTTTATACCTTGTCATGTTTTCTTGAAACCTATTAGCATTTTTTGCTTTTAAATATTTTCTTTTTTTCAGCAGATTAGGTATTGGGGGGCAAACTACAGGAGCCTCTTAACTATATGGAGTATTAGTCCAAATGTATATGACATATGTTAGGTTTTCATAGTGCTGAAATCTCATACTTGTCATTTTTAAAATGTGTAGAATAAGAAGCATAATACTTTTCTGAATATGAAAGCCTATCTGTTGCTTTGAAACTTGTTATTTACTTTATTGGCAACTAAAGGTAAAGCTGTAATGTCATTTTATTTCAATAAGAGAAATGTCATAAATGTAGATTTAAGCTGTTTTCTTTTAGGTAATTAGATAATTGCTCCAATATAATTCTTTTCCAGGATCATTACTTAAATCTTCTAAATTCTCTTACTCCCACTTAAGCGTATAAAATATCTTTCATGCCATTTAAATCATTTTCAAAATATGTCATTTGCTAATATAAGTATTAATATAGGTGTGCATATATATATAATCTTTGTGTTTGTAGATTGATACCTTTTCTTTGATTATATCTTTATATCAACAGGCAAAGCTTACATGAAAAGTGGTTGTTGAGGGAGCAGAAGGCACAAGAAGAATTCAGACTAAAGAAGGAAAAGGAAGAGGCAGCTAGAAAACAGCAGGAAGAACAAGAGGTTTACTCTTAGTCAAATTAATAGCCAGCTAATTAGTTAACTAAAATAACTTCTAATTAAAATATGAAATGACTTTTCTATATTAAGAATTACATCTTGGACAAAAACAAACAAAAAACTTTAAAAAACTGATATTGTTGGTGTATCCATTTTATTTAAAGTTTTTCTGTTGTTTGTACATTATGTTAAATGTTTATAAAAAGCAAATCTAGGCAGAAAATTACCTTTTATTCTCTTTTCTTTCCCTTTAAAGAGAAAGTTAAGGGAAGAATGGGAAGAACATCAGAGAAGAGAGAGAGAAGACGAGAAGAAGAAACTACAGGAGAAGAAAGAAAGAGAGGTGATTCCTATCATAAGATAAATGCGTTGTATACATTATGCATAGATAGTGTGTGTGGATTTGAAGCTGTAAGCATGTGAAGGGTTTGAGTCTTTTGTTTAGAAAGAGTCATACTTTTTAATACAGACATATGCTACAGTTTCTTTATCATACTTTTCTTTGGATCCATGCCATGGCAAGTCTGATTATATTAATTCGAGGTTTTTCTTCAGCTGTACCCAGTGGACCCTTTATAATAGGGAAAAAATCTTTTTTCTATAAAGGTGGATAGTAAATGTTTTAGGCTTTGCCGGCCAGAAAATCTTTGTCACAACCATTCACTTCTGCCATTGTAGTGCCAAGGCCACCATGAATGACAGTACATAAACAAGTAGGCATGGCTGTGTGACAATACTTTTTTTTTTTTTTTTACATAAGCAGACAGCAAATGGTGTTACTCTAAGGTTTTGCTGTATATGAGGTCACTCATTTAGAGAAAAATATTTTGTATAGTTGCTATATTTATTTCATTCCTTTCAGGCTTAACTACTTATGTCAGTAGAAATATTTGAGTGAGATAAATTAGAAATCGAAAATTAATGATTTAGAACATTTTTTTTGTTGTGGTTATTAAATCTTGACTTGGTTTCCAACTTGTAGCTAATAGGCAATTTGCTCATTAAAGAAAATAATCTATTAAGGTATATGTACATATCTTTTAAATCTTCCAATATACTTTTTAAATATTGACTTGGTATATTTGCTGCTGTTTCTTAAAACTGTATTTATTTGAAAAATTTCACAGCTCATCTTTTCTTAACTGATTGGTCAAACTATTTTTTCTGGATAGTGCTAAGTTTGAATAACATAAAGTTGAATAGTTAACCATCTCATAATGGGGGAAAATACTTATGTCTTAGTCATGATGGAATAGAAGTACCCCCCAGGGTCTTTGATCTTTATATTTCAGCCCATCAGTTAATTTCCATGCAAATTTTAGGCACTCTTACGTGAGTACTGTTTTCTAGGTAAGGTAAAATCGATCACTATAGATTTTCAGGAGACAAAAAAATTGGAGCTTTATACTTTCTGTATAGACAGGAATCAATTCCTATTTTAACAGTAGAATTTTCTTCAGTTCAGGTCTTTAAGAGATCAGGTAAAAGCTAAGACTTCTTTTAAATGCTTTGATTTTTAAGAAAATCTAAGACATTAAAAAGAAACAAAATGAAGTAGATTCTAAGCATATATAAAGAAATATGTGATACGAGTTTCCGCTCTGTGTAAAATAGTTCTCTAGTTGACAGAGAGTGGGCAGTGAAAAGATGGTCCCTGGTCTTATTGAGTTGGTTTTCTAGATGTGGCAGCCATATGATAAATTGGCATAAAAGATTATTTCAAATTATATTACATGCTATAAATAAAGCAAGGTGATGTAATAGAGTATTGAGTGTGATAGAGTGATAAGTGGATGGATGGATGTAGTTCTTTAGATTACATGCTAAGGGAAGATTTCTCTTAGGAGTTGATGTTTGAGCTGACAGCTTAGAACAAAGATTTCAGGGAGAATAGAGGAAAGGGCCTGAGATTGAACCTCAGAGAAGTCCAGAGTGCCTTAATTCTAGTGACTAATGGACAAAGTATCAGGAGTGGGGTAGGAGATTAGAGGATAGGCAGGGTCAGATAATGTAAGCCCTCATGGATTGGAAGGATATTAAGTATACCCTTTAATATATCGTTCAGAGTTATATATAAATAATGGGGGATGGGAAGCAGTGACCAAAGAGGCAAGAGTCTAAATAGAAGACCAGTTAGAAGACTTGCAGATAATATGTGATGCTGGTTTGAACAAATATAGTGCTGAGTAAAGATATAGTGCTTCTGGGTAGACTGGGGGAAAGTAGAGAGAGAAAGGGTTAATGCAGGTCATTCTCTTAGGTTTTTAATTTGAACAAGTTGGCGAGTAAATGGCAACACCATTTACTGAGATATAGGTAACTTACATGGATGGGGGAAGAGTGAACAAGAGTTCTGTTTTGAGATTCTCAAATTACAGAGAACTCTTAAATGTCCTGGTAGAGTTATCGTCTCTTAAAGGGCTAGGTAAGAGAAGTCTAACATAATTAAAACTTATTTAAATGCCAATTAGGTAGAAATTTATGGGAATATTCAGAACTTATTTTGCCTCATCTAAGTTTTAAATGTCCCATAAATCTTAAATACTACTGTTCATGTCAAATTTTAGTCTTGATTAAATATTTTAACTAGCATTGTTTTATAATATTCACTGATACCTCATCTTAAAAACTAGACCATGGTGTCTGTGCCTTAATATACTACATATTGCTGTTTCTGAAATTACTATAGAAATACTTGAATATTTTTTAATGTTTTTTGTTACATTTTCTATACTTACATTCCTTTGAAACCTGTTCAGAATATCTGGGCTGTAGAAAAGAAATTAGGAACATGAAGCCTTGCATGTGCAAGGTTTTTAAAATTGTTACACACGAGATTTTCATCCAGAAAATCTAGCTGTGACTTACCTAATTTCCAGATTTTCATTAGCTCTTTGCATTTGCAGGAAGCTGTTCAGAAGATGTTGGAACAGACTCAGGTATTTGAAAATGAGGTATTTTTAAAATCTTTAAAAATTTGAGACCGGTTAATGCTTTTAAAAAAATAATGCTTCCATTAATTTTAATTTTATTATAGGCTATTTATATGGAGTCTGGATATTTGAAATAACTTTGTGGCTTTGTGTTTTATACAGTAAAAGAGTAACAACAAAAGTTTATTGATAAACACTAATGGTATTGAATCACATCTATGGACTATACTTATTTATAGTTCTTAATGTAATATAAGCAATTTATCCCACTGTGGTTTGACTTGCTTCAGAATACTTAGATTTCTCTCACAGATGGTTCCCTAACAAGTCTTTTGAACCTTTTCAGAAGGAATGGACAGAAAGGAAGGCTTGGTCATTGCTTCTGGTAGCTTTAGTAATGCCGGATAATGGGCAGTGACTGGGAGCCATACAGAGACATACAGCTCATGAACCTCAGGACAGTTGTTTGTAGTCTTGGTTGCGTATTACAACTTAAATGTGTGTATTCTCTATTATGAATAAGTTTTTGTTTTTGACTAAAATATTTTAAATATATTTTTAACCTTTAATTCTTAATAGATTTTTATACTATCAGTATTGTATTGTTATTTTCAACAGCTAGGAAATGGTACTACATGGCAAAACCCAGAACCACCCCTGGACTTAAGAATAATGGAGAAAGATCCAGCAAATTGTCCATTCTACAATAAAACAGGAGCTTGCAGGTTTGGAAATAGGTAACTAATTTTATTTTATCATGAGATTTAAGGGTCAAAACTTTTCTCTTTTGGGGAGGAGCACAAGCTTCAGTTAGAAATATTAGGAATCTGACATCTGCTTCTCCAAGACGTAAAGCGGACTTAGCTTATTTCTCTGACAGTGCTTTCTTTACATTCCTTCAGCTTTATGAAGATCTGCCTTTTATCCTCTACTTATTATTGCATTAGTCCATGTAGACAATTTGGATGGGGAAATATACTGCTGTTTCGAGAAACTAACATCTTATTTGTGTTTTAAAACGTAAAACAATTTGCACAAGACAAGCTTTTAAAATTCGCTGTGCTTAAATGAATATCTGTGAAGGACAAGATCAGTAAATAGAGGGAAATGTAATTCACCATCCTCAGTGGGCTCAGATTCAGGAACAGACAGACCTATGGTTTCAAAAACTAGCTTTAACAGTTGTTACTTTGTGAAAGTTACTTAAGCTCTTTTTGTCTTAGTTTTGTCATTTATAAATGAGAATTAAAAATGGTATCCCCATTGTGGGGCTGAAATGAGTGAATACTCATGAAATGAGGAAATACATGAAAAGTGCAACATGAGTGTTTGCTGGCATTTTTCTTAAGATCATTGTTGCTGCTGTTCTTTGAGCCATTGTTCTTTTTTGGATGAGTGTTTCTGAAATAAGACATTTATGTGGAAAACTAAATGATCTTTTCATTCATTTAACAAATATATGAACATCCTAATGAACACTGATTTTTATAATTTGGCTCACTTATTAATAAACAATTCAAAGTAGATAAATAATCCATAATAAATCTGTTATAATAATCATTGTGGTTTCTACAAAGAATATCTTAATGTCCTCTTAATTCTAAAAAGGGACAAGAATAGAGAAAATTTTAAAATTTATGGTTCTCTTACATATTTTTGTTCATAAAATTATCCATGCTGTGACTTTTACTTTGAATCAAAGTATGTCTTTTATAGACAACATGTTGTTGGATCTTTCCCAAATCCAGTCTGGTATCTCTGACATACTTGATTGGAATGTGTTGACCATTCACATTTATCTAACTTATTGGTACAAAAGGGAATAAAGCCTTCTTTCCTTAGTTCTCAGTTCCTCAAGAGGAAGCTTTCATTATTTACCAGATCCTGTGAACCCTTTAACAGACATTCTTAGCAAACATACTCCAAGCTATAAAATAGAAAATGAATTAATACTCTCATCAGTTGGTCTCAATCCTGGTGCACATTAAAATCATCTGAAGACATTTCAAAATGTCTGAGATTTTCATTTACACAATTTGACGTGAGGCCGAGGCATATTTCTTTAAAGAATTTTGGGTGATCTTAATGTGATTCAGGGTTCAAAATTGTTGCTTTTTGAAATGTAAAAAGGTGAACACAAATATAAAAAGAAGAGACAATGAAGGTTATTTTCAAAGAAAATATGCCTTTGATTTGCTTCCTCTGTATCTGTTTTTTTGTTCTTCTGTTTTTGCCATTGTTGGGATACTAAATTCCCCTTTGTTTACCATTAATTCTTTTTTTTTTTTTCACTATAGCTCTTAATTTATCAATTTAATATACTCCCACAGAAAAAAATAAACAGTGGATTACCTTTGAAAGACAACTAAGACAACATGAGTTCACATTTATGTGGGTAATTAAACTAAATTGAATTTCAGGTTTTCATCTGCTTCCTCCCTTATGTTCTAACATTTCCTTGAATTTTAAAACTTTTGATAGACTTGTTATATATTCTCCTTCTGTTTGGCATATGTGAGAAATGGGGAAATGCCTTAAACAATTTCAGGAAATTAGTTGATAGTACTTATTTGTGGGAAGGGGAATGGACTGGCTCTGAAAACCCACCCCTGAGAGTTGTTTCAAGGAAATATATAAAGTGAGAAGTTTAAAACAAAGAATACCTTAGGAAGAATCAACAGTAGATTAGATGAAGAAGAGGATAGAATCAACGATTTAGAACATAAGGTAGCAGGAAACAGCCCATCAGAATAGCAACAAGAAAAAGAATCCAGTATATTCATACATGGCAAGCCATGTGCATGCACTGAACTACTTACAGAGATGAAGAAGTACTATATTGAATAAGAGTGCTGAGAGTAGACAACCTTGTCTTGTTCCTGATCTTAGGGGAAAGCATCTCGGTTTTTAGCTATTAACTATGATGTTAGTTGAGGGTTTGTCATATATGGTCTTTACTATGTTGAAGTACTTTCCTTTTATACTCATTTAAGTGTTTAATGATAAATAGAGGCTGTATCTTAATTGCTTTTTCTGCATCATATGATTTTTCTTCTTTGTTTATGTGGTGTAGCACAATGACTGAACCATCCTTGTGCTTCTGGAATGAACCCCACTTGATCATGGTGTATAATCTTTTTAATGTATTATTGTAAATTCGGTAGTACCTTATTTGTGATTTTTGCGTCTGTTCATTAGAGATATTGACCGATAGTTTCTTTTTTTGTTATCCTTACCAGGTTGTGATATCAGTGTAATGATGACCTTATAAAATACATGAGAAAGTATTGCCTTACCTATTCTTCAGTGTTTTGGGGAGAGTTTGAGAAGAATAGGTATTAAATCATCTTTGAATTGTTTGGTCAGATTCACTGGAGAAGCCATCTGGTCACGGACTTGTACTTTTTGGGAGGACTTTTACTTTTTGGGAGGCATTTGATGACTGTTTCAATTTCCATACTGCTGATTGATCTTTGTGATTTCCCAGTTTTTCATGATTCAGTCTAGGAAGGTTATATATTTCTAAGAACTTGTCTGTTTCTTACAGGTTATTGAATTTGGTGGCATATAATCTTTCATAGCATTCTTGTATCATCCTTTATATTTCTGTAGTACCTGTCATAGTTCTCTTTCATTTCTGATTTTGTATGTGTCTTTTCTATTTTTCACTTAGTCTAGGCAGAGATTTGTTTATTCTGTTGACCTTTTCAAAGAAACAGTTCTGTTGGATTAATTTTTTCAGTTGTCTTTTGTTCTCAATTTCATTTAATTCTACTGTAATTTTTATCGTCTACTCTTTTCTGATTTTAGGCCTCTTGTTCTTTTCCTAGTTTTTTGTGATATTATGTTAGCTTATTTATTTAGATCTTTCTTGTTTCTTGAGATAGGCCTATAATGATGTGAACTTTCCTCTTACAACTACTTTCATTGCGTCCTAAAGGTTTTAATATGTTGTATTTTCGTTCTTGTTTGTCTCTGTGTATCTCTTGATCTCTCCTTTTATTTTTTGACCAGTGGTTCATTAGTATCATGTTGTTTAATGTCCATGTATTTGTGGTTTTTCCCACTTTATTTTTGCAGTTGATTTTCAGATCGCTTGAAGTACTTTCAGCCTTCTTGAATGTATTGAGTATAGCTTTGTGTCCCAACATATGGTCTATCCTTGAGAATATTCCTTGTGCACTGGAAAAGAATGTATAATCTGGTGTTTCTGGATGAAAGTCTCTGTAAATTTTGATTATGTCCTGTTGGGCTAAGGCTATTTCCTTATTGATTTTCTGTTTGGTTGATCTATAGCTGTCAGTAGGGTATTTGGGTTCCCTACTATGATTTATTTTTCTCAGTTTCTCCCTTTAGTTCTCTTAGTAGTTGCTTTATATATCTTGGTGCTCCCTGGTTGGAAGCATGTACATTGATGTGTTATCACTTGTGTCTTCTTGCTGTATTGTTCCCTTTATCATTATGAACTGTCCTTTTTTGTCTCCTTACCTTTTTTTTATTTTGAATTCTTATTTCATCAGATACAAATATGGCTACATGTGCTTTTCTCTGGATGCCATTTGTTTCATATATCATTTTCCTCCTTTTCACTTTGCGTCTATATTTGTCTTTGTGTGTCTCTTGAAGGCAGCAGCATATGGGTTAGGTTTTGTTTTTTTGATCTACTCTGCTACTCTCGAGCTTTTCATTGCTTAGTTCAGTCCATTTACATTTACGTTGATGATTGAAATATGAGGATTTTTGTAACTATTTTATCTTTGGATTTTTGGTAGCTCTATGTCTCTGTTGTTTCTTTGTCCTGTGTTTCCGTTATTTTAATTTGGTAGTATTCCATGATATTTTCCTTTGTTTCCTTTTTATTTTTTTAATTTATGAGTCTCAGTTCTGGATATATCTTGTGTGATTACAATTAAGTTGATGCAAAAGAAAGTTTCATATACATAGTAGTCATTTTCTTCCCTCACATTTTATGTTTTTGTTGCTACAGGTTATATTCCCTTTTTATATTTCAAGGTGATTAACAACTTGCAGTTCCTATTTTCTTTAAATATTTTTTCCTCTTAATAACTAAGTATATAATATCCTATTCTGAAAAAGAGTTGCAGTTTCCTACCTCTGTCCTTTGTCTTTTTGTTTCAGATAAAACAACCCACTTTAGTATTTCCTGTAATGTAGGCCTTGTACTGGAAAAGTCCTCAGCCTCTGTATGTCTGAAAAGGTCTTTATTTCTGCTTCATATCTTACAGACAACTTTGCTGGGTATGTTATTTTGCCTAGCAGTCTTCTTTCAATAGTTTAAATATTTGGTTCCACTCCATCCTAACTCATAAAGTTTCTGCTCAAAGTCTGATGATCAAATAGGTATTTCTTTATAGGTTACCATCATCTTTTCCTTGGCTGACTTGAGAATTTGTTGTCATTAATTTTTGATGATTTTAATATAAAGTGTTTTGGAGAAGGCCTTTTTGGATTGAGATAATTTTATACTGTTTGTTTCTACGGTTTGAGGATTCAGTTCTTTCCTAAGTTTTGGAAAGTCTCACTATTTGTTTAAATATTCTCTCTGTTCTTTTCTCCCTCTCTTCTGCTTCTAGAATACCCATTATTCTTATATTGCTGTTTCTGAAAAAGTCAGATAGTTCTCACAGACATTTTTTAAAACTCAAAAATCTCTCTTCTGCCATCTGTCATTTCTAGATGTCTGTCTTCAATATCATTATTTCCTTCATCTAATCAGCTCTACTTAGTAAGCTCACTCTTTCATTCTTCATGTCTTTTACTTAGTTTTCTCTCTCTTTTTGTTTATTGATTTTATTGCGGACTTTCTTGAACTGCCTTTCTGACTTTTTTGTGCCTCACTGAGTTATTTCAGAACAGCAAGCTTGGAGTCTCTGTCATTTACATCACATATTTCCCTGTCTTTAAGTTTATTGTTTGGAGATTTTTCATTTTCTTTCTGAGCTATCTTGTTACCTTGATTATTCATGATATTTTATGTGTTATTTCTAGGCATTTGTGGGAATCAAATCTACTTTTCCTAAGTAGTGTTTAATGCTTCTCTAATAAGTAAGTTGATAAGAAGAGGTCTTTCTTTTGTTTTTCAGTAGGCGGTGCTAAAGCAGAAAGTTTTATGTTCTGTTACATGCAGTCCTGCGGCTTCTGGGATCTCTGCAGAGCAGTGATGCCTATGCCACAGAAAATACCCTGGGTTCCCTAGGGAGGAATGCATCCCCTCTGTAACCAGGTGACCTCTGAAGTTCCTGGTCCATGAGATCCCAGATCTTCCTCCTGCAACTATCTGCTGCCAGCAGTGCTGTACTATTTGAGATGTCCCAGGTATCCCCACTGGTCTCTGTTTTGGGGAGTGCAGAAAGGGTGGGCTAGGAGAGACCAGTTCATGTGTTATGGCTTTGTTCCCCTCCCAGTGATGGCTGCTGTCAGACCTCTATCTTTGCCCGTGTCAATGGGATCAGCTGCAGTGTGTGCCTACGGTTCAGGGATGCAGTGAATGTGCTCTGTAATCTGACACTGATTGCTAAAGCTTCCACTAGGGCCCACCGCAAGTTCTGGAAAGTGAGTTTAGGGAGGGTAAGAGAAAGCAGCCACACATGTGGAGCTTTGTTTTCTGCTTGGTAATGGCAGCTGCTGAACTGTAGCTACTGCACTTTTATATTCACGTCTGCCTCTCACTGGGTTCAGCCACAGTTTGTGATCATCATTGAGGAAAAAAAACTTCCTCCTCAGCTCCATAGGGCTGCAAATGTATAGGCTGTAATCCAGCTACTCCTCTGCTACCAGTTCCTGCAGTGAATTCTTGTTTGCATCTGTGGCACCTATCTCTGTTCTTCCCTTTTTCCTCCTCCCCTATTTGTTTCACTATACCTATCTTTATATGTTTCATTGTGTGGATCTCTCACACATATTTGTATTTTGAGCAGGGAATCGTTTGTTCAATTATACCTGTCCAACTTGTAACTACAAGGAGACCTAGAGGACCTGCCATGCTGCCATGCTGATTACGTCAGTCAAGAACATATGAAAGTTCTATTTATCCTATATCGCAATCTATTAATAAAGCATGCAATTTTGTCTGAAAAGGCAGTATACATACCTTAATTAAAATAATTTATTGCCAGCACATCTAATCATCTTCTGTGCCTATAGCAAGTCATAAACCTTTTGTTGATGACTGTTGACTGGTCAGAGTGGTACTTGCTGAGGTTTGGAGTTGCAGCACTAATTTCTTACATTAAGACAGCTATGACCTTTGCCATATCAATTGGCTCTTCCTTTCATGACCAATTTCTCTGAAGCATGCAATGCCGTTTGGTAGCATTTTACCCACAATAGAACTTCTTCATAATTGGAATCAATTCTCTAACCCACACTGTTTTTCAGCTATGATTATGTAATAGTCTGTTTGTTGTCATTTCTACAGTCTCCACAGCATCTTCACTAGAAGTACTTTCCATGTCAGTGAACCACTTTCTTTGACAATTCGTAAGAATAACCTCTTATCCATTAAAGTGTATCATGAGATGGCAGCAATTCAATCACAGTTTCAGGTTTTAAGTCTAATTCTCATTGTCTTGCTAATTCCACCATATGCAGTCATTACCTCTGCTGAAGTCTTGAAGCCTCAAAGTTATTTGTGTGGGTTGAAATTAAGTTCTTCCCCACAGCTGTTTTTGTTGTTATCAGACTTCTTATCAAGACTCATTAATGTTCAAATGGCCTCTAGAATAAGGGATCTTTTCTAGTAGATTTTCAATCTTTTTTTCAGAGATCATCAGATGAATCACTATGGTATCTCATGCCTCATGAAATGTTTTTCTTAAATAATAAGACTTGAAACTCAAAATCACTCCTTAATTTAAAATGAGTGTTGTGCTAGCAATCATAAAAACCGTATTTAGCTCAGCGTCCATGTCCATCAGAGCTCTTAGGTGACAGCGTGCATTGTCGATGAGCAAAAATATTTAATAAGATTATTTTTCCTTAGCAGGACTCAGAAGTATGTTTGAAATACTCAGTAAACAGATATGCTATCATCTCTGATTATAGTTCCATTTAGAGAACATACACAGAGTAGACTCAGCATAATTCTTAAGGCCCTAGGATTTTCACAATGGAAAATGAGCACTGGCTTTAGTTAAAAGTCATTGTCCATATTTGCACCAAACAAGAGTGTCAGCCTCTCCTTGGAAGCTTTGAAGCCGGGCATTGACTTTGCCTCTCTAGCTGTGAATGTCCTACATAGCATCTTCTACAAAATAGAGTGTCTGCACTGAAAACCAGTTGTTTAGTGTAGCTCCCTCTGTTAGTCATCTTAGCTAGATCCTCTGGATAACTTGCTGCAGAATCTACGTCAACCCTTGGTGCTGCACCTCGTACTTTATGTTCAGACACAGCTTCTCTCCTTAAACCTCATAAACCATCCTCAGCTGGCTTCAGACTTCTGAAGCATCCTCATTTTTAATCGTTTACAGAATTGGAGTGACTCAGCCGTGCTCTGTATTAGGCTTTGGTTTAAGAGAATGTTGCGGCTGGTTTGGTCTCCTACACAGAACACTAAAAGTTCCTGCATAACAGCAGTAAGGCTTTTTGACTCTCTTGTCATCTCTGCATTCACTGAATAGTGCTTTTATTTCCTTCAAGATGTTCCTTTGCAATCACAGCTTGGCTAACCTTGTTGAAGGAGGCCCGGCTCTTGGCCTGTCTTGGCTTTGGATATGCCTTCCTCACTAAGCTTAATGATTTCCAGCTTTCGATCTAAAGGGAGAGACATGTGACCCTTCCTTTCACTTGAACCCTTAGAAGCCATTGTGGGGTTATTAACTGGCCTGATTTCAAAATTGTTGGGTGTCAGGGAACAGTGAGGCTTGAGCAGAAGGAGACAAGACAGGTGGGAAACAGCTGATGGGTGGAGCAGTCAAAGCACACACAACTGTGTGGATTAAGTTAGCTTCTTATAAGGGCGGGGTTTGCGTCACCCCAGAATAATTAGAATAGTAACATCAAAGATTACTGATCACAGGTCCCAATAACAAATACCATATTAATGAAAAAGTTTGAATTCGAGAATTAACCATAATGTTGGGAACATGGCATACATAGACTTGTTCTACACAGGGCTGCAACCTGTAAAAAATACAGTGTCTTTGAAGTTCAATAATATGAAGTACAAGTTACAGTTATATTATTCTTATCTTCCTCTGAGTCAATGTATAGTATCTTTGTGACTGTCAGTACAGTCTGTCAGGCCAGTGGACCTTTTTTCGTATGCTTTCACAGCTTCTTGGACTTCATTAAAAGGGAAATGAAATGGCATATGAATTTGGGAATAATTCTCAATTCTGCATTATAACGACATTGCCATATTAGTCTTAGAACATTATTCTTAAGTATCGAAATCAGGTTTCTGGATGTGATTTATTATATTACAATTAAGTCAGAACAGCCAAGTTCCTACGTCTTTATTCAGAGTTTAAAGCACGCTCTTTATGTGGCATTGCTGACCGTCAGACCACTGAATCGAAGCGTCTCTTTCACATGCAGGTGTTCACGTAAACACAATTTCCCGACATCAAGCCCCACCCTTCTTATCAGAAGCATGTTTACAACGTTTGGAATGGAGCAGTGCAGAAGGGACGACTATGACCCTGACGCCAGCCTGGAGTACAGCGAGGAGGAGACCTACCAGCAGTTCCTGGACTTCTACGAGGACGTGCTCCCGGAGTTCAGGAACGTGGGGAAGGTGGTCCAGTTCAAGGTGGGCGCGTACAGTGCACGCGAAGGAGGACTCGCTCAGCTCGCACCAGGCTGCACTATACAGCACAGGGGCTGGGTGCAGGCTCTGCCAGGGCGGGGACGTGTACACTGGTGCACTGCCTGGCCCAGTATTGGGCATCCAGGAACTTGGTAAATGGTACTTTCTATTCTCTCTTACCACTCTCTTATTACCGACCATAGAAGTACTACATGAAATACTGGATTCTAGGGTCTAGATGGAAAAGTATTGTACTTTTATGATCCAACTCTTTTGCAGCTTATGTTTTCTTTGCATCTGTCTTCAGACAGTCATCCTAGCCTTCACTTACAGGTTGCATATCATTCACTCCCTTCCTTTGTAGTCTGTCTCAACTAGAGTTGCAATATAACAGACATGTTTTTGTTGTTATATTGTGACAATCCCTGCTTTCAGCTTCCACCCAGGGTGCACAATTCTTCTAGAGTTACTTAAGAACACATATCTTGATTTTTTTACATTGTTTTTAATCATTGAATACTATCATACTGAACATATTGTCCCAAAGATCATGGTTTGTAATACCATGGATGTGATTTATTATATTACAATTAAGTCAAAACAGCCAAGTTCGTGAGTCTTTATTCAGAGTTTAAAGCACGCTCTTTACGTGGCATTGCTAACCATTGGACTAATGAAGTGAAGGAGAAATATGCAAATTACACATAATTACTTTTAAATATTGTTACAGGCCAAGTAAATCCAGGTCTAATACTTGTTACTCTTGGGAATGATTAGTGGAATCCTAACAAACCAAAAGCCGCCTCTCTTGTTTATGATTTTATAAGATTCTAACATGAATGATTTTGTTATATTATAGCAGAGAATGTCACATAATTTGAAAATAGATAAGATTCAAGCTATGAGGTTTTTTTTTCATATTAGGAAATGACAGAAGAATTGGAACAGACAACACAGCAAATACTAACCACCAACACTCTTGCCACACTTAAAGGCTAACTTCAGTTATTAAGACTACTACATATGTGTATACTTACTCACAGATTTGTAAAAATACTTTTTTAAAAACTTTTCTAGTTTCTGTTTTCTCCTTATCTTTTATTTCTATTGTGTTTGTCTTCCTGTCTTTGTACTAATTTTTGGTACAGACAAGACAAAGTACCTGTTAATACAATACTATGATAGAAGCATATACCAAGGAGGCAGTGTGGTTCCATAACATAACACTTTACCTCTTAAGGATTTTACCTCATTTAAAAAGTTGATTCATCAGTGTTTTTCTTCTTGAGAGCTTTAGATTATCTAGACTCTTTGAATAGTGGAATTTTAAAACTTAAGACTGGTCAATGGAAATCTCAATATGAGCCATACCCTAAGCATTCTTTTGCTTAAAATTCTGAGCTCTATAATGCTTTTTCCTTTCAATTTCATAGAAATATAATTGACATAGAGCACTACATAAATTTAAGGTGTACAGCATAATTAATTCACATACATATATTGCCAAATGATTACCACCACCTCATAGTTACAAAAAAAGAGAAAATTTGTACTATATTGCACTGTTAAGTGTAGTTCTCATGTTATATATTATATCCTTAATACTTGTTACGGGAGGATTATACCTTTTAACCACTTTCTTCTAATTTCCCCACCACCAAAATTCCACCTTCCATAACCACATATTTAATCTTTTTGTATAAATTTATTTTTCTTCTTTAGACTCTGCATTAACTAAGATCATACAGTATTTGTCTTTCTCTGTGTCAGTTATTTCACTTCCAGGTCTATCCATATTATTGCAAAAGCCAAGATCTCCCTCTTTTTTATGGCCAAAGAATACTCCATTCTAATATATATCATACTTATCTTAGCCATTCATCTATCGATGAACACTTAGGCTGCTACTATATCTTAGCTCTTATAGGTGATGCTGCAATGAACATAGAGATGTGTATTTCTTCTTGATTTAGTGCTTTTGTTTTCTTTGGATAAATACCCAGAAATGAGTTCTTGCGTCATATGGTACTCCTAGACTTAATTCCTTCTGGACATTCATAGTGTTATCCATATTGGCTACATTAGTTTATATCTCCACCAACAGTGCACAAGGTTTCACTTTTCTTTACATCCTTGCCAACACGCATTTCATGATTAATGGATAATGGGCATATCTCATTGTGATTTTTGCTTGTATTTCTCTAATGATTAGTGATTTAGAGAATCTTAACTACCTTTTGGCCATCGGGTATGTCTTTGGAAAACTGTATATTTAGATCTGTTCATTTTTTAAACAATACTCATATTTTTGCCATTAAAGTGTACAAGTTTCATCTTAGCCATTCACTCCTTCTGGTGTGTTTTATGAAAAATTTCATCTATTTACATTTTATTTATCTATCATTTATAAATTTTTTAATTTATTTTTTATGGTGACATTGGTTAACAAAATCCAATAAGTTTCAGGTTACAATTTAACAGTAAAGCATATATATTGCATTGTATGTTCACCTCCCATGGTTATGTTTCTGTCACCACATATTTCACCCCCTTGCCCTGATCTACCTCCCCCGTTCCCCATGCTCCCTCTCCTCTGGTAACCACTAGTCCATTGTCTATGAGTCTCTGTTTGTCCTGTTCATTTGTTGCTTTTAGGTTTATACCCCATATATAAGTGATATTATGAGATTTTCAACTTTTTCTGTCTGGCTTTATTTCACTTAGATGATTATCTCGAGGTCCATCCATGTTCTTACAAATGGCAATATTTCATCTCTTCTTACGGCTTAGCCATATTCCATTGTATATATGCACCACAGCTTCTTTAGCCAATCACCTATCATAGGACACTTTGGTTGCCTCCATGTCCTGGCCACTGTGAATACTCCTATAAACATCGGTGCACAAAAATTTTTTGGATGTGGGTTTTCAAGTCTTTGGGGTACATACCCAGTAGAGGAATTCCTGGATCATATGGTACATCAATTCTTAGTTTTTTGAGGAACCTCCATACTGTTTTCCATAGTGGCTGTACCAATTTGCAGTCCCACCAGCAGTGTACGAGGGTTCCTTTTTCTCTGCACCCTCTCCAAAATTCGTAGATAACAACTATTCTAACATGTGTGACAAGATATCTCATTGTGGTTTCCATTTGTATTTCCCTAAAAGCTAGTAGTGTTGAACATCTTTTCAAATGTTTGTTGGCCATCTATATGTCCTTTAGGGAGAAGTATATGTTCAGGTCTTCTGCCCATTTTTTGATGAGATCATTTGTTTTTTTGTTGTTACTGAGTTGTACCAGTTCTTTGTATATTTGGGGTATAATTAGGCCCTTAATGGAGGCATTGCTTGCAAATATATTTTCCCATTCAGATGGTTGTACCTTTATCTTCTTGAAGATTTCTTTTGCTGTGCAGAAGCTTTTTCATTTGATGTAGCCCCATTCATTTATTTTAGCTTTTACTTCCCATGCCTTTGAGGTCAAATTCATAAAATCCTCTTTCAGTCCAAGGTCCTTGAGTTTAGCGCCTACATTTTCCTCTATGCACTTTATTGTTTCTGGTCTTATTTTCAGGTCCTTAATCCATTTTAAGTTAATTTTGGTGTATGGTAATAGACAACAGTCTAGTTTCATTCTTTTGCAAGTGGCTTTCCAGTTTTCTCAGCACCATTTATTGAAGATGTTTTCCTTTCTCGACGGTATGTTTTCAGCTTTTTTGTCAAAAATTATTTCCCATATATATGTACCTACATATATGGGTTTACTTCTGGCCTCTTGATTCTGTTCTACTGGTCCATGGGACTGTTTTCCTACCAATAACATGCTGGTTTTTTTACTGTTGCTTTGTAGTATAATTTGAAGTCAGGAAAAGTGATGCCTCCAGCTTCATTTTTTCTCAGGATGGCCTTGGCAATTCGGAGTCTTTTGTGTTTCTATACAAATTTGATGATTTTTTGTTATATTTCTTTAAAATATACCGATGGGATTTTGATGAGGATTGCATAATAGATCTGGATAATGCTTTAGGTAACATGCTCATTTTAACTATGCTGATTCTTCTGATTCAAGAACACAGAATATCTTTCATTTCTTTGTATATTTTTTCTTTCTTTTAATAGGGTCTTACAGTTTTCATTATATAGGTCCTTCTAAGTATTTGTTCTTTTGTTGCAATTGCAAAGGAATTATTTTTTCACTTCTTTTTCTGATACTTCATTATTACAGTATAGGAACGCTATGGGTTTTCGACTTTGATTTTGTATCCAGATACTTTACTGTTTTTACTTTATTGTTTCTAGTAGTGTTCTTGTGGACTCTTCAGAGTTTTCTGTATAGAGAATCACGTCCTCTGCAAATAGTGACAGTCTGACTTCTTCATTTTCTATTTGGATGCCTTTTATACTTTTCTCTTGCCTGATTGGACTTGCTAGGACCTCCAAAGTTACATTGAATAACAGTGGCAATAGTGGACAGCCTTGTCTTGTTCCTGATCTTAGAGGGAAGGTTTTTAGTTTTTCATCATTAAGTATAATGTTGGGCAAGGCTATCATACACGGCCTTTATAATGTTAAGGTGCTTTCCTTCTATACCGATTTTGTTAAGTGTTTTGATTATAAATGGATGCTGTTTCTTGTCAAAGGCTTTTTCTGCATGGATTGGTAAGATCATATGATTCTTATTTTCTCATTTGTTTATGTGGTGTATCACATGAATTGATTTGCTTATTTTGAACCAACCCTGTGCCCCTGAGATGAAGCCCACTTGATTGTGATGTGTAATCTTTTTAATATGTTGCTGTATTCGGTTCACTAGTATCTTATTTAGGATTTTTGCATCTGTGTTCATGAGAGATAGTGGTATTGTGTTTTGTGTGTGTGTGTGTTATCTTTACCAGGTTTTAGTATCAGGGTAATATTGGCTTCATAAAATGAGTTGACAGGTATTGCCTCCTCTTCTGTGAATGTTTGGTAGAATTTACTGGTGAAGCCATTTGGTCTTGGAC